TCCCTCTGGCTCTTGCAATCTCAGCTTCTGGGAGTCTGTGGTTCCATCGGATCTAGCTCCTCCTCAACGCGGGCCACGAAGCCCCTCTCCAGCACCTCGGGACGGCTGCAGGCTTTGAATGTCGGGTGTAAGGTGTAAGGTTAAGACTTTTGGGGACTGTGCCGAAGGCTCTTTGACAATCACTCTACAATTGTTCGCAGATCGGCCGCTCATGTGAAGATTTAGTTACCGATGCCCCATCTAGTATATCTAGCTACAATTTCTCAACACTGCTGCCCGTGCTACGTGATTGTCCGTCGAATGGTACATCCTTCTTCGTCTACAAACGCTGCGAAAACCTTCAGACACGAGAAGCACTCCGAAAACCGCATGCGCCATTCGCCTGCCCTGGCAGCCTGGGGGCAGCAGGGCATTGCTCGCCTGCTGTGGATGATGGTGTCGGGGTGGGTCCTGCAAGGACGTAGCGATTCACAGCCTCCCGCTCCCGGTGCCACCCCAAGAGCGCCACTTCATCACCCACATACAGCCATTAGATTCACCATAAGACGCAGAGTCAAGTCTCCAACCTGTCGCCGTGCCTGGGCGGAAGGAGTCGGGCGTCTCCTCGATTGGCACCATCTGCAAACACTGCAAAATAGGAACCCTGCTTCAATTCAATCAACTGCTTCGGGCTCTTGCTCGAAAAGCTGCACCGAGGGTCGGGTAGGTCCACCCGGAGCTCGGCCAGTGCGCCCAGCCGCAGCAAACTCCCGTGCTTCAGCAGCAGAGATCCTGAAATCCCAAATGTTGTGACCGGGCTTCGATTGCACGAGAGCTTCCAATCCTATACCGGATGCAGCTTTCAGTGAGCTCAACAGCAGCCAATACACAAATTATGTGGCCCAAATCGCAACTAGCTTGCTTTGCTCTGCGTCAGCTCGCTGGCCATCCACCAGGATCTCAGCATCAGGAAACACCTGTCACAGCACAGCTCGATGCCAAACGATCCCAAAAACTCAAGGCATGGGACAGCGAAAGCACAGCCTAGAAGCACGAAACCTTCATGCCCCTCCTAACAACTCCAGAATCCTACATCTCGTCCTGCACAAGCACAGGTAGCTGCCATGCATCTTTCACTGCGCGTGCTATTCTCGGCCAAGATTAAACGCCTGAGCCGCTAACAATATTGCCTCCACATACCAACCGCCCCTGCCGTGTGCCAGGCGGGCGTGCCGGGGCCGGATTCCAGGACCCGGCAACTCCCAGAAGGGTGCCTTCAAGGGCTTCGGCTGATCCAGGGGACTGCATGTTGCAAAGGGGACTGCATGGTGCTTACGTCCTCTCTTCCATCAGCATGCTTCGGAAATCTAGGAGCTGTCGAGAAAAGCTCCGGCGACTGGCAGTGATGGGAACTGCCTGAAAGGCCATGCCTGCAGCAGTCCAACTATTCCATGACCGGCACTTGGAGGCTCAGGGGGGGATGCACATATGATGAACAGACGTCTAAGTAGACCTACACCGTATACCCCTGAACCCTAGACCCAAAGCAAGCAGTAAAAAACAAAAACAAAAATCAAACCCTCACAGCCCCTGAGCCCTAAATCCTCCAGACCTCGCCATCTGCCGCCTCGCCCTCGGAAGCCGCGCTCCCCAGAAGCAAGCCGCGAGGATCCTGAGAAAAGGCGGCGCGGCTAAGATCCGTTCATCTTGGCCTGAAAAGGCCTAGGGGCCATAAGGCTATAACCCCAAATCCTACCAAACCCTAATGCTTTCGGGTGCTTCGGGTTCAGGGTCCGGCAAGGAGTTCGGGGGCCTCGGCGTTTTTGTTTTGCCTTTTTCGTTGAGGCTTTGGGGGTATCGGCCAGCGTGGGGCTGGACCTGCAGCCCCTGCCGAGACGTGCAGAGTTGTGATGCCTGGAATCCCAAAACAGGACCGAAATAACAACTCGGTAAGGTAATCTCCCCAAGGTAAGCTCCCCCTGTTGGGGGCCCCTCAGATTTTGCATGGTGGCTTCAGTAGGGGATTTTGAATTCAGGGTTTACTGCTTGGGCTTCGGCCAGATGAGGTGTGTGGACGGCAAGCTCCTCTTCAGCACCTGAATCGCCCTGCACGAACATAGCATCTTCGCAAAGACGAAGCCTCAAGTCGATTTACTTGGCCCATCAGCAGCAACCTAGCCCCTCCAGATCTGCCTGCGCAGCCTGAATTGCACCGGGCGTCCACGATCCGCGCGCTCTGTGGATCGTCTCGGTGGCTGAGAATCGCCAGAGGGCCCTGTGCCGCCCACAGGGCCTCTGCAGAAGTCGCTACGGTCCGGGGTTGAAAGCTTTTCGGAAGGGTGTGCACCGGTGCAGGGTGAAGGCTGT